CTTTACTGTAAATATTTGCTCTGCGAATGGGAGTAGAATAAATTTCATCACACTGGAAAAGCCAAAGTTCTCAAATTAGGGGAGTCAATTGTTACACCAACTCGACAGACTTGTTTTCTGGGCATTTTTTTAAAAATGGAAAAATAACTGTAGTTTCCAGCTGGGTGGAAATAAAGATCTAAGAATTTGCTTAGCTGGAATCACAATGATGCAAAAAAGTGGAACTGAGAAAAAACTGAAAAGGGATGCCAAAATTTGACAGACGTTTATTCGTTAGATGTGACTTACTTCTGTGTTAGTGCATGCAAGAAAAAAAAAATGCATTTTCAAAAACAATAGGAAGGTTGTTGAGTATCTAGCTGAGCCAAGCCTGTGCTGAGCAATTCAGAGATGACCTAAGCAGTGCCTCGCCAACCTCAGCATACAAGGAATGTGTTCCTGCTACACTTGTTGCAGGGACTGGAGGGACTGAGAGGGGAAGAGGGCAAGACCTGTTCCCACCATCAAAAAAGTACAACCTGTTCCTGCTGCAATAACAAAATATCTTAGACTGAGTAATTTATAAATAATAGAAATTTACGTCTCACAGTTATGGAGGCTGGAAGTCCAAGATCAAAGTGCCAGCAGACTTGGTGTCTGGTAAAGGCTTTCTATCTGCTTCCAAGATGACACCTTCTCACTGCAATCACAAGAGAGAAAGGACGAAAGGGCAAAAAGGGACAAATGTTATGTCCTCACATGGCAAAAGAGAAGTGGAGGGGCTAGGCAGCTATCTGAGGCCACCTTTATAAGGACACTGTCCTATTCATGAGTACAGAACCCTTATGACTTAATTGATTCCCAACAGGCCCCACCTCTTAATACCACTGCTTTGGGGTTTAAGTTCCAACATATGAATTTTGGAGGGACACATGCATTCAAACCATGCACGTGTTTTAAGACATCTTTGCAATTAAGGCTTTAGTGGGGTCCCAACCTTTCAAATGGTTGAGCACATCTGTTCTCAAGTCTTCAAGGAACAAACCTCTTCAGTAAGATAGAGAACAGTTACCCCTACCCCACAAGGAAGTCACAGCTCTGCTCTAAAAGGAGGAAATTGTGATGTAGTGTGAAGGTTACAAGCTTTCATAGAAGGTAGAACTAGATTCAAATCCTCATTGTATTATACACTAGCTCTAGGACCTTGGGCAAGATTTGTCTTCTCTTGAGTCTTAGTTTCCTTATCTGTAAAATCAGGTTAATTAGTTCTTGCATGATAAGGATACATTTGTGAAAACTGACTGTCAATGTGAGCTATTATTTTTATAGATGGAGAGATGGAGAGACGGAGACCCGGAAAGGGCTTGGGAGCTGTCCAGCATCAAACAGCAAGAAATGGGCAGCGCCATGCTGGAGCTCAAGGGTCTGGGACCACAGACCAGTAAACTGAAGCTAGGACATCCTCTGCCTCCCCACTCACAGAAGACCGAGCGGCTTCCTTCCTCAGAGTCACCAGACCCATCTTGCTTATTGTACAGATGAGAAAAGCAGCTCAGAGCGGGGCAGGGATGTGAATGTGACTTCTGCACACTGTCTTCCCGCTTGCAGCCCCTCTCGGTGCTCTCCATACTCTCTGCACCTCTCCATTTGATGGCATTCGTGATTTACAGATTCAAATATGTTGTTGACATTTTCCCGGGCCTTCCAGGCAGGCATGTTTGCTTTGGAGGTATTGGATAGACGTGGTAAAATCAAGGGCTTTCCATCAGCTTCCTAGCTGTCCATCACCCAGTGCCACGTCTCCCCCAGCCATGGGATCACTTGCCATTTATACAGTCTGCTCCCCTACAGAGTCATCGAGAATCAACCTACAGAGGCCAGAGTGTCTCGACAGCATACCAGAGAAATCCAGGTAAGCACAAGGCAATGGCACTCTTCAACTTGCCTTTTCATCAGATGCTGAACCAAACTAAAGCTTTTGATACATGTTACCGGTTACAAATTGTGTTTGGTTCTAGCACAGAATATGAAAAATTGTGGCTTCCGTCATGATGAGAAGCCCAGAGTTAGGCTGGCGGAGCCTGCCATCTCCTTCCTTGGCTACCCCTAGCATGTAGCTTTCATCTTCCTTCTAGTAAGATAACTGCTGGGCTCCAGTCATCATGTCTTACATGTAATCAGGAAAAGGCAGGAGAGGAAAACAAAAGCATGCGCTTTGCAGCTGGATCAGTCACTCTAGAGAACGTTTTAAGAAGCCCTGACCTACAATTTCCATTTATATCTCATGGACCATCCCTGGTTGCAAAGAAGGTTGGGAAAGATAATTTCTTTGTTAAGCACATTTCTTCCCTCAAAAATAAAAGGATTCTATAAATAAAGAGGGAAGAATGGGCATGTGCCCTCAGCTCTCCAAGCTTCCATTTCCTGCTCTGTAAAGGAAGCATGTCAATAACTGTCTCATAGGATTGGGATGTTGTAAGGAATCGGGGCACTTATCCAGCACCCAGCAGGAAAGATGCTTCCCGGCCACCCTCCCCTCCTTCAGACTGTCTGTGAGTCTTCCTAGGGTACTTACTGTCAGAACCAGGGAGGGATAAAGAGGAACTTTAATTTGCAAATTCAAAATTAACTTCTATTTAGTGGCACTAGGCTAAACAATTTTCAAAACGCTTGCTGAATTCTCCTAGTAGCCTTTTTGAGTGAGATGCAGATTAAAGCATAAAAAACTAACAAGCGGGAGAGCCAGGTGCTAGCCACTAACTACAGCTGGCCTTAAGAAAACTTAACCCTGATCCGAGCCCCTGTGTCCCATCTGTAAAATGGGTATTGGGCTGGGTGCAGTGGCTCATGCCTGTAATCTCAGAACTTTGGGAGGCTGAGGTGGGAGGATCACGAGGTCAGGGGTGGGAGGATCACGAGGTCAGGAGTTCGAGATCAGGCTGGCCAATATGGTGAAACCCGTCTCTTCTAAAAATACAAAAATTAGCCAGGCATGGTGGCGCACGCCTGTAGTCCCAGCTACTCAGGAGGTTGAGGCAAGAGAATTGCTTGAACCTGGGAGGTGGCGGTTGCAGTGAGCTGAGATCGTGCCACTGACTCCAGTCTGGGTGACAGAGCAAGACTCCATCTCAAAAAAAAAAAAAAACCGTTATTGGGTGAGTAGGAATGAGTCCAAATGACTCCTTTGCTCCCCCCAATCTCCTTTAGCTCCATAGAGAACTTCTCAGAGTGACCCTGAAGCTGACTCTACTTACCTGGTATCCCACGGGTACTGCTCCAAGACGCTGAAGGTCGCGGGCCTCCTCATCCTCTGTTGGTTTCTTGCCCTGTTGTCTGCTCAATATTGGAATATTTGACTTGCCTGTGGATTTATTTATTGTATATTTTAATTTCTTGGCCTTTAGTCCCTTGGTCATTTTTTAAGCATGCATGCCTTGTAAATTTTTATTGGATGCTGAACACGATGGTGAATGACATTATCTTTTTTCCAGAAACGAAGATGGCAGAAAGATAGAGCAGAAATGGATCATGACCCTGCCTAGGCTTAGCTTTGTGTTTTATTATGTAGAACTATTTTGGTCTTGTTCTTACTTTTAGAGGGAGACTATTTCTAGGGTGTGGCCCTTTCTCCTAGAGCATAGTCTTTTGTGTCTTCACTGAGAGCTTAAGATGTGTACCAAGGTCCCTCCCATCAAAGGGGCGCACCTCCAACCAGCACTTCCTTCCCCAGCATCACACAGTGGAGGTGCTGATGTCTCTGTTCACTTTTTAACTTTCAGCTGCTGTTTTCTGCCTCAAGCCTGAGAGTCCCACCCTGCAAGGGTGCAGCTTAAAAGCTGAGATTTCAAGGCTCCTTCCCTGGGGACCTTCCTCTGGGATTTTGCCCCTCAAGTCCCAGCCACTTTGGTGGCCCCAAATTCCAATTCCAATTTTTGTCTCCTCATCCCTGTAAGACTAGCTCTTTTTGCTTGGACTCTAGTTGATACGTTGGAAAATGACCTCAAGCAAAAACTGGGGTGAATATGGAGCCCACCTTGAATGATGTCTCTTTCTCAAGAATCACAGCATTTCAAATTGTGCCCGTGTAGTTGCTCATGGATGTCCTCCTTTGTTTTTATAGATTTCCATCTCTTATAGTTGACTTTAGAGGGTTAGTCTGATGCAAGATACTCTGTCGTGATCAAAACCAGAACTCTGCAGATGGAACTTGAGCGTAGATTTCACAAGGACTGTGAACCCTCATTGCGGCTCAGGGATAGGGTGAGAAGGATGAACACAGAGAATGCTTCCATACTTATAAAAACAGGCCAGGCGTGGTGGCTCACGCCTGTAATCCCAGTACTTTGGGAGGCTGACGGGGGCAGTTTACCTGAGCTCAGGAGTTCACGACCAGTCTGGGTAACATGGTGAAACCCTGTCTCTACTAAAATTAAAAAAAAAAAAAAAAAAAAAAAAATTAGCCGGCTGTGGTGGCTTGCACAGAGGTTGCAATGAGCTGAGATTGCGCCACTGCACTCCAGCCTTGGTGACAGAGCAAAACTCCATCTCAAAAACAAAACAAAACACCACACATGCGCACACACACACACACACACACACACAAAGAACTTCAGGGTTGGTTATTCCTGGAAAATGCTTCACGGGTTATAATGTGGCAGGGAAACGCAGAAAAACCCCTAAGGATGTTCCTGCTGGTGCCATCTGGGGTAAAAACATGAAAATTGCCCAAAAGAGGAGACATTCCACGAACATCAGTCAATACATACCTTAGAAAATTCTGCAGACGAGGAGGTAGACAGTCCTGATGTGCTGCTACTTGAACAAATGCTTCTGTAGAAGCATGACAGGCCAATCCCTGTTTCTCATCGTGTTACATGAATGCATACCTATGGAAAGAAAAACTTCCAAAAAAAGACACAACAGAAGTTGTCTCTGTGAACTTATTTTTATCTACTTCTTCTGTCTTTGTACATATCTCTATTTTCTAATTTCTCTACTTGCCTAAAAACAGATCTCCCAAATTAAAATGTTAAACCATGAGGTGGTTCACACCTGTAATCCTAGCACTTTGGGAGGCCAGGTTGGATGGATCATCTGAGGTCAGGTGTTCGAAACCAGCCTGGCCAACATGGTGAAACCCCATCTCTACTAAAAATACGAAAAAATTAGCTGGGCGTGGTGGTGGGTGCCTGTGATCCCAGCTACTTGGGAAGCTGAGGAAGAGAATTGCTTGATCCCAAGAGGTGGAGGTTGCAGTGAGCAGAGATCATACCACACTGCACTCCAGCCTGGGCAATAGAGTGAGACTCTGTCTCAAAATAAATAAATAAAATAAAATAAAATAAAATGTTAAACCAAATGGGCTATGAATTTACATGAGAAAAGTGACCAGGGACTGGGCTGAGAGTCTCCTTGGAATCTGTCAAGTGTCTAAGGAGAGAACCGGCCCCTACCAGCCTCTACCTGTTAGTCTCAGGTCCCAGTGGGGCCATTTGCACTGGCATTTGGTTGAAGTCCCAGGAAGCCACACGAACACCTGCATGCACCTCCTTTCCGGGAGGGGTGGAGCATGTGTCAAGGTCCCAAGGGGCACTCCCAGACCAGGCAGTGTGCCGTTCAAACGGGCACAGTAGATGGGCCTGTAGTGTCCACATACTCCAGCCCTAGTCCCTCAGCCTGGGCCCTTCTTGTCCGTGCTGCGGAGCCTACTCTCTCCCACCAGCTCAGGGAGGTAAGCCCTTGAAAATGTCAAGTGAAAATCATGATCATAATGATGCATCGGCACAGTGGTGACCATTTGTGAAGCACTTACAATGCGCAAGGTGCTGTGCTAAGTGCTTACAACAAGGGCAAGAGGAAGGTATGCGTTTGTATCCTCTGCATTTTCCAGGTGAGGAAAGCCTCAGGTATCCAGCAAGTAGGTGGCAGAGCTGGGATTCCATCCTGGGTATGTCTGTCTGAAGCCAGGGCATATCACCACCACCATTTCACTGTAAAATGAGGATAGCGTGTCCTGCATAACATCGTGTGGTGAAGCAACTTGCACTAAATCTCACAATCCCACAGCTGCTAACAGGTGGGAGATTTCAGAGACCATTGTCATAACTCTAACGTTATGCAGCCTCTTGCAGCAGCCATGAGCAGCCCTGCTGGGGCAGGCAGTGTCCCTGCGGGAAAAACCGTATGTCCAGCTTTTGGGCATAAATACAGGTTGCGTGGCCTTGGGCAAGTGACTTCATCTCTTGGACCCTCTGTTTCTTGCTCTAAACTCTGAGGAAAAGCAGGTCCCTCTCTGAGCCTCAGTCAACCCATCTGTAAAATGGACATAGGTGAATGGGTCCACATGAGTTCTGTGGCCACTTCAGACCTAAGCTCTGGGAAGACCCTCTCAGAAAGTGTCCTTGCAAATGACCTCTTTTCTCTGATCCTCCACAGGGACCTAACCCAGGATGCTGAATGTCTCCGGCCTCTTCATTCTCCTCTGTGGGCTGCTTGCCTCATCCTCTGCACAGGAGGTCCTGGCTGGAGTTTCTTCCCAGCTCCTTAATGGTGAGACTGTCCTGCTTTGGGTCATGCAGAACCCTTAGCCAATGCCAGTGAAGTTCTCATTAGCAAAGTGCCTGGGACACAATTAACACTATTAATTGTTCGCGGTCCTGACTGCAACATCGTTTAATCCGCATTTTCCAAGAGCCCCCACTTTCCTGTCTCCTTGCTGTGCTTTATCTATCAAGACCCACCATCAAAGGAACCATCTCTACATGGACTGGTCCCTGTCCCAGCCTTTGTACCTGCTGTTCCCCCTGCCTGGAACATTCTTCCCCTACCTGTCAACATGGCTGCCTCCCTTCCTTCAGGTCTCTGCTCAAATGCCACATTTGCAAAAACCCCTTCCTTGACCTCCTGCATAAATGAATCCCTCACCCTGCCTTTTATTTTTTCGTCATAGGATGGACTGATATTCAGCAGCACGGTCATCATGGTTAAAACATTGAAATTTTGGGGTATACTATTTGGGAAATACTTCCTGCTTACAGACTCTCCAGGTGCCCCCCATTGCCCCAACCATCCCAGCTTCACCCCCAGAACTCCAGCTTCCCCATGAACTAAACAACTATGCAGTTAACACCTGGCACAGCCTGGGGACCCCAGGACCTGGGTCCAGAGCTATGGCCAGTGCCCCTGTTGAGCTTGTTGCTAAATACTTTGAAACCAGCCTCTTCACAGCACTTGTTTGCACCTGAATCCTGCCTGTCCCTTTATCCTCCACTTTTTCATCTGTCTCTCCTCAGCTCCGTAAGAATGCCAGCTCCATCAGGGTGGTGCCCAGGGTGGTGAACAGACTGGATGCATGGCCCAGGTGCATAGTAGGCCCCTATGAATATTTGCTGGATGATTATGTCTGGAACTTGGCCCAGAGCCCAGCAAGCCAGAAATAGCTGATCGACAAATCGGAGCCACATAGGGGACATGCTCGGAGGTCGAGGTTGTATCTGGGGATCTTTGGCATCTAAATGTCTACATGAGTTTGGGGGTGGGACATTCTTTACAGATTTGACTCAAGGACTCCTCAGGGCAGACTTTCTTCCCAGCCTGCAGACAATCGGCCTCCAGAAATCATTGAGTAGTGCCTTCGACGTTGTATCAGGCCTCCTGGACATCTTGGGGCCTCCTCTCACCAATGAGATCGACACTGTTAGGTGAGTGGTCCCTAATCACCAACCACCCCCAGTCCAGGCTGTCCTGGTTTGTTGGATAGTTAGAGCTCTCCCCACATTTCCTGACCTCACAGAGGCCCTTCCCTTGCAAAGAGCCTTTCCGACTCTGGTGGCCTGAGATCCCCTGGGTGGGAGAAACTCCCACTGCAGGAGGCTAGGGGAGGGGCTAAAGACACAGGGATTCAGTCCCCTTGTCTGGGAAAAGGATGGCTGCTCACCAGCTGTGACAGCATCACCAATCTCCCCCTTTCTCTGAGCCTCAACATCTGCCCTGTTCAATGGGGAATAATAGCATCTACCCCCATGGGACTGTTGTGAACATTAAGTGAAATAATATGTGTAAAATGTTTGCACATCTTCCTCTCCTCAGTAAGCATCCAATCACAGGTAATAAACAACAGCAAGAATGTGATAATCCTAATACTAGATGATGCTGGGCTTTAGGGTTAGATTGGCCACCAGAGTATAGAAGACCTGGGTCCCTTGTCTTCTTAAACTCAACATGTCCAAAACTCAACTGCTGACTCCCACCTTCATCCCTGCCCCAACCTGTGCCTCTCCCTGCCCAGCCCATCTTACCTAACGACAATTCCATCCATCCAGTTGCTCTGGCCAGAAATTGTGATGTCCTCCCTGGCTCCTCTGTCTCCCTTGTACCTGCTTCCAGCCTGTTGCCAAATCCTCCCTGTCACTTCTGCCTTCAAATCACAGCTAGGCATCTCACCACTTTTTTTTCCCACCTCTGGTGGTCTGAGCCACCATTATCTCCCCGCTTAACTTACAGCCGCAGATTCTCCTGCTTCTACCCACCAGCCCTCATCTCCTCCATTCTGTTCTGCCAGTATCCAGAAAAATCTTCCTAAGAAGCGGAGCCAACCCTGTAACTCCCTTGTCCAAACCCTCCAATGTCTTATCTTCGCCCTCAGAACCAAGTCCAAAGTTCTTACCACTGGCCCTCAAGGCTCCACGCAATCTGGCCCTGGCTACCTCGCTCACCTCTTCTATTAGTCTTGCCTCACTCTCTGCCTGCTAGCCACACAAAGCCTGTTGCTGTTCCTCAAACACACAAGCCACATTTCAGCCTCAGGGCTTTTGCATTTGCTCTGCCTTCTTTATTATTTCTACTATTATTATTGTTTTGAGATAGGGTCTCGCTCTGTCTCCCAGGCTGGAGTTCAGTAAGTGGTGTGACCACAGCTTACTGCAGCCTCAACCTCCTGGGCCTAAGCCACCCTCCTGCCTCAGCCTCCCAAGTAGCTGGGACCACAGACACATGTCACCATGCCCAGCTAATTTTTTGTTTGGTTGGTTGATGTTTTGTTTTCCTTTGTTTTGTTTTCGAGACAAGGTATTGCTCCGTCACCCAGGCTGGAGTGCAGTGGCACAATCATGGCTCACTGCAACCTTGACTTCTCAGACTTAATTGATCTCCTGCCTTGGCCTCTCAAAGTGCTGGGATTACAGGCATGAGCCATGCACCCAGCCTTTTTCTGTCTTAAGCCTGTCCTTTCCTTCTCTTGACTATCTGCATGACTCATTCTCACTTCATTCGTGACTCTGCCCAAACGTCAACTCCTTTGATAAACCTTCCCTGACTACCCTGTCTGAAATTCCACTCTTCCCAATATTACCTTCCATTGTCCTGATCCTGTAGGGCCTTTTTTTTTCACCATGCCTATCACTTTCTGTATGTATTTATTTACTGGATTTATTCTCCTATACATACATACCTGCTCCAAGCATCTGCTGTATATGGCTTTCGGTCTTATTCACTCATTGATTCCAGCCTGCTTGGTGCTGGGCAAAGTGCTGAACATGATTATTCTGAGATGCATTAAGATAAGAGCTTCTTTTTGCTCAGAGATATATTTCCAGTGCTTATAACACATAGTAGCTTTGCCATAAACTACCTGGTTAATGAATGAGTAACCTTCTTTGCCTATATTCAGCTTCTTCTCTGCAAGGGACCTGCCATTGCACAAAGTGAGGTCCACCTGCAGCAGGAGCCACAGCCTCCCTGTGTTGTGCTGTTTCTTCACCCAGGATACAGGTGAAAAATCCTCAACTCCTCCAAGTCTCCATCGAGAGCACCCCTCAAAGAAAGGAGGCCATTGTACGAGTACCATTCATATCTGAGTTGATCGTGCAGTAAGTCACAGCTATGAGTCTCGCAGGTTCCATCGGCTTTTGCACAGGAGTCGGGGGTTGTGGGCAGGAGCGCTAACCAAAGGACTCAGCAACAGACTCACTGTGTGGTTAGAGCAAAACATCCACCCTCTCTGGGCCTGAGTCACCCCATGTGTAGAATGAGAAGCCTGCAGAATACTTGAGTGCTCCAAGCTTGGGGCCCCTCTTGAGAAAGCAGAAGGGTTGAGCAGATTTCCTCCCCCTACCTCTTCCAGACAGCCCCCACCTTCATTTATTTGAACTTCATGAGTCTGCTTAGTTCTGATTGAATGTAACTGAAGACAAGAACACCGAATCACCTCTGGACCCCAATTCTGTGACACTATTGCCTGGAGATCACCCCAGGAGATGCATCTGGCCCACTGATAAATTTTGTCTGGTTTGCATGGTGCCTCTGCAGAGTCCAGGCATTCTCCAGTTCACCACAGCCTTTACCTCTCCCTGTGAAACTAACTGCCAGTCTACTTCATTCATTGCCATTTCAAGCCTGGTCATCAAGGCGATGGATTCTGAGACCTCTAGAAAAGGACTTTCCAAGGTCAGATGCAGTTTTCTAGTTTTGATAAGATGCCGTACTTAGAATCAAGATTTTCCTTCCTAACTGTCCCCAGAGCCAGAGGTAGCAAGTATTAGGTTCCCTGAGTGCAGAACCCTCTGACTTAGCTACTGGCTGGATGCATGACTTGGAGAAAGCCATTCCCATTCTCCAGGACTGAATGGCCTCTTTTGAAAAATGAGAAAATGACCTTAACAGGGTGGTTTTGAAGATTCTGTGGCAACATGGGGAACCTCGTTCTAGAAATAAATGGGGATGTAGTGAGCTCTGAGCTTCTCTCCCATCTGCCTTTCCTCTTCCCTCCCACAGGCTCCTGACCTTGAAGCCCTTCACAGCTAATATGCGGTCAGATATAAAAGTCCAGATTCGTTTGGAGAAGAATGTAGGTGGCAGATATGAACTTGCCTTTGGGAACTGCAGACTCTTGCCTGAGGCTATCTGGATCCAAACTGGAGCCCAGTGAGTTCTCCATCTGTCTTTCTCTGTGTCCAGCTGGTTATGATGATGTTCCCAGTGAGGTTTCACCTGAAAGATGTCACTAGAAAAACAATACCCTACAAAATTAGGCTTTTGTGTGTATGGTGATGTGGGTATAATAAATAGGACTTTCTGTGCCTTTAAAATTTTGTTTTTTACAAAAGTAACAATTCTATCAACATGAAAAGAGACTTACCAAATAGGACTGAGCAAAAAAAAAAAAAAAAAAAGGATTGCTTGGCCATTTGTTGATAGGTTATTTCTAAACTTTTTGGGCCTAGTGAGGTGGCTCATGCCTGTAATCTCAGCACTTTGGGAGGCCAAGGCAGGTAGACAGCTTGAGCCCAGGAGTTCAAGACCAGCCTGGGCAACACA